GAAAAAAAAAAATTATAATAATAAAAGAGAGCCGTTTTTGGTGCTAGGAAAAGCGTATCATGTTGCTGTTTCAAAAGCTTTTTGTTTGTTAATTAATTCTCAGCTGAATGAATGAAATAATCACATCACTAAATGTGTTTTCATCAATTACAAAAGAACTAGAGCTTAGTAAATGGTTAAGTGCAAGATATGAAAAAAAACATGCAGGCATTGTGTGGTAAACTATGAGGTAGTACTGTGCGCACACAAACACACACACACACACACGCACAAACACCTATTTGAGATCTATTTCAGGCACTAGAAAGGCTTTTCTTCACTCCACTAGTTGCTCTCTGTCATCAAGTGGTCCCCAATCAATGTTTGTCTTTTTCGTTTTTATTCGAGACTCCATGGAGGAGTCTAAGCCTGCCATCAGCTACGGTCCTAATTTTGACTGAGATTTGTTTTCTAAATCACTAGGATTTTGCCACTTGAGGATATGTAAATGCAGGAACGGCTTGAAAATTGGCACACTCTAATTGGGCTTAGCCTCAGAAAGGTCAGTCAGTGAGCAGACACTGTTGCTGGAACCCCAATCCTGAAATGATTAATTACTTGCAGTGACAAAACATTTGAATTGCGGCAGAAGGAGAGAAGTGTTGAAGAAAATGAAGAATCAGAGGAACACACAAACAGCTGAGAGAACTGACATGTACGTTGAAGAATGCAACATGAACAGTACTTACATTTGTATCTGATTTTCTTTGACATATACACTGCTGAGATCTAAATTATGATTTCGCCTGTGAAATATACTGATATTTTTCAAATATTTCCCAAGTGATGTTTAACAGAGCAAGGACATTTTCCCAGTGTTTCCTATTATTTCTTTACGTTTGGCTGGATTAAAAGCAGTTTTTATAAATATTTACAAATATTTTAAGGTCAATATTAAAAGACATTTTTTTTAATCCCATAAAGGGCAACAATTTTACACCTTTTTTAAGATTTAAGATAAGTCTTTTGTGTCTCCAGAATGTGTCTTGTCAAGTTTCAGATCAAAACACCCATCAGATTATTTCATATGGCTTTCAGGATGTTGGAATTTCTGACTGAACACAATGTAGCTGTTTTTGTTGCCTGTGCATTTATTGCTAGCTCTCCCTGTCCACCATTCCCACATGCATGTCAGAGTGTGCCTACGGCAGCGAGCGTCAGATAAACAGCACAGTGACAGACATAAAGAAGATCTCAGGTAACGTTTGTTAGTGTTTGTCAGTAAGAACTTTCCCAATGATTATTTGATGTGTTTGTTGTGGAGGTAATTCAAGCCTTTTTGCAACGATGAGTCACACACTTGTTTGCATTGCATATGTGACAGCATACATGTTAATATCAAACGCTGTATGGATAGCCGTTATGCTAATGTACAAAATAAACCTGACTTAACATCCACAAAGCGGTATTGAAAAGTCTTCTTTTATAAATGTACCGACACGCAGCTATGGTGATAAAGTAAAGACGGTAAAATCACTCTAGTTCATTACAAACATGCACTTTTTAAAAAACATTTTAAACTTGTAAAACTCATTCTTGATCACATTTGATGATGATTAATGATCACAGAGAGCTGATCAGATCTTTTCATCCTGGTTGCTTTGTGTACATCCTGTACATAGACATGTTAATACGCAGCTGTCAATCAATTTAGTGGGCAAGGAAACTGCACTCCTACGTCATGTTGCAGGAAATTAAAAAAAAAGATATTTTTTTGTGTTTTTATCACTCCAATATGACAGTAGACATACTATACCTACACACAGTTCTGTCCAAACAGCTTACAAAAAAGGATTTTCATCATAGGTGCCCTTTAAGAATTTTTTTTTCAGTTGGCTACAGAACAAACACATGATGTCCAATTACTTTCCTAATTAACCTAACTTAACTAGTCAACCTTATAAACTTGTATAAAGTCTTCAAATTGCACATTAAGCTGTAAATCTTATCTTGTAAAATAAATAGTAAAATATTATGTACAAAAACAAAACAAATTTGTTATTATTATAATTATTATTGTAATTGTATGGTAATTTTAATTTTAACTGTATGCATTTTGATATAAAAGATCAATGTGTTATAACAACATCCTGTATGACCCCTTTAAAAATATGGTATAAATATATGTATTTAAGTTGAAGGCTAAATACTTTTATTATTTAATGCATCATAAAATAATATTTAAATTAATAATAATAATAATAATAATAATAATAACAATAATAATAATAATAATAACAATAATAATAATAATTATTATTATTATTAAAAGCATTGTGAAACATTTCTTTTTAATCTGAGGGCTAGTAACTGAGGGCTAAAACACTTGTTTTATTATTATTATTATTATTATTATTATTATTATTATTATTATTATTATAAAAAAGCCTTGTAAAACATTTTTAAAATCTGAGGTCTAATAACTGAGGGCTAAAACATTCATGTATTATAATTTTTTTTATATAACTATTATTATTATTATTAAAAAAGCTATTTAAAACATTAAATAACTGAATAATAACCGAGGGAACAAATGTTCATGTTTTCTGGGCCAAATCCAGATTTAGAAACTGCAATGTTTTAACACAGTGTGATTTTACTTCTTGAAGAAAAAAAAGAGTGAGAGAAAGTGAGAAAGTTAGAGACAGAGAGAGAGAAAGAGCGATGGGGGTTATATTTAGACAGAGGCGGCGCATCAGGTGCAATGTAAGATTTCTGAAAATGGAAACAGCTCCCAGGGGTGAGAGAGCTAAATCTCGGGCCCTTTCATTATTTATTTTGTATCTAAGGCATTGCGCTGAGAAAGAAAAAAAAATCACAGGAAGATTGCTGACGTCCCTGTAGTTCCCATGTTAATGAACGTGTCTAATCAGCAGAGCTCAGGAACCTTTCTGCTCCCCAAGTCATAAAGCGCATGCCTGAAGAAGCCATGCCTCGAAAGCATGCTGTGATAGGAAAACTAGCACACTATGCTCACATAAAACAATGCCAATTCACAGCATGCCATGTCACTATGTAAGCCAGATAAGTGCTTCATTTACAAAAATACCCCCAAAATATGGATTAACTGGCATTGTGTCGTGCCAAAGGAGGTAATTTCTTACTTGCAGTTTACAAAACTGGTAGCAGATAACAGTGTGCTTTCTATTGCATCTGTTTTCTACAGCACCACCCACCCTTAGTTCTGTTGCTTAACAACACTCATCACACGAAAGCTGCTCTATATAAAATGCATATATATTTTGCTATTTTTCACATCAAGAGAAACTCCAATAAATGCGACAACCCACGGAAGATATTGAACTGCAGGTTACCGTCCACCTTTCATTGCACTGTAAACTTTTGTAAGGATAAATGAAGCGCGGTCATACGGCTGGAGAGGCTCCAAACGACACCATTAGCCAGCAGGATGAACACAAACATGGAGACTGGCAGCGCCCTGCAGTTTCATAACTGGCCTCAGTCTCAGACATGATGCCTGGGTAAATAATAATATTCTCCTAAGTGATCGGAAGCCCTATCATCAGCAGATAAAAGAGGGGACAATTTATGGTAAAAGTCATTCAAGAAGCATTGTTGTGCTCAAGTGGAAAATAGGGTTCATGCGAGCAGTTTATCAGAAAGTAAATAGCCACAGGCCAGGTGTGATATTAAAAACATGGGGAGAGGGAAAAAAGGCATGGGTCATTCCATAACAAAAGTCTTCTATCTTTCATTAGACTTTAAATAAATTAGCATCACAATAGTATTTGAAAAAATGGTTTCATATATATAATTATCGTTTATATATATATATATATATATATATATATATATATGAAGAGTTCAGATGCAAAAATCTCTAAATGCAGTCTGAAATGTTCTCCTTAAAGGAAAATTAATCTCAACCTCCTATGTTTATGTTCAGTTATTTCACTTAAAAGGCAATGAAAATGAATAAAACTTATCCATTACTATAAATGCAAAATTACTGAGCCTACACACAAGAGTTGGAGAAAAATACTAATTTTAAAAGAAAATATCAAATGGCTTTTAGAGGCTTTTGCATCTAAACTCTATATATAGTGCGTACGGTGTATAGGCATGACTATGCTCTATAACATATTTGTTTATATAATATATTTTTGTATTTTATGTACATAAATATATTTACATATATACATACAGATTTCCTTACTTTTATCTTGAACGTAATTATATATATTTATATATTCTGAGTTCATGCTCTTACCAGCACCACAAATTCTATCGGTCTCAGTCAGAATATGATTCTGTGCAGTCTCATAGCAACCTAAAAATAGAACTGTCCCTATTATGCTATATATGACTGAAATGCTTGAAACAAGTTATGGGTGTTTAATTGCAATGTAAACTCTGACAATAAGCTGTGAAATGCTGTTATTGTGTAGATAGATAGATAGATAGATAGATAGATAGATAGATAGATAGATAGATAGATAGATAGATAGATAGATAGATAGATAGATAGATAGATAGATAGATAGATAGATAGATAGATAGATAGATAGATAGATAGATAGATAGATAGATAGATAGATAGATAGATAGAAGGCAAGCTATGTATTTAAAAAAGGATTATTATATTAATTGCAATATTGTAGTATGTAAATAGCATTTATTTTTTTAACGATTTTGGTTTATAATAATAGCTTATAGTTACTGCTTATGTTAATATTTTAAGAGATTTAGTGAAATATTTACAAAAACTACCACACTAAAATAAACAGCTGCTTAAAATTATACTTTGCACAAACATATCCATAATTAGGATGTTGAAACATCAATGAATTAATCATTAATATTGTTTTTATTATTATGGTTTGATGAACTTGTCTGTATTTCATCATAACCATACGGGTTTGATCCTAATCTCGATGTACAAAAACTGAAGAAAAAAAATGTTTTTGTTTGTTTATGCTTATCATGACAACATATGACAGGATCACACCAGCCCCGGTTTATTTTTGTAGATTCTGACGTCAATCAGATTCACGTTTCATTCACGAAGTGAAAAAGGGGGGAAGTTATTTATAACCTCCTCAACGTCTTAGTGTGATTCTTGGGTGCGCAAATGGGAATGTAGCGATTGGACTGGTGTCTTGCGCTTCAGTAACAAAAGCAGTGGAGCTGGAGCGTCGTTGTGCCCGCACGGTAGGACCGAACCTAAAATAGGACAGTTCGGTTGGGTCTGAACTAAATAACTACACGAGCTGTGCTGAGAAACTGTGCCTCTCCGTCGCTTCTATAGTATATTGGAGAGCAAACCGTGGACTTATTCTATAGTGATGAACCTGTGCGTCAACCAGGTAAGGACATTTTCTAACTTGATCTGTTTAGGTGTCTAGAAACGCATCAGACATTTTAACTAATGCAATTTTCCTATTTAACGAATATAATGCATTAGCTAGTGTTATATATGTTTTTAAAGATTTTGCATGTTAGGGGACTCGTGATAACTCGTGTATACTTTTGAGATAACAGAGCATGCAGGTGGATGGACGAAAGTTGTGATGTACACAAAGATGGATAATACAAGTGGATCTGAAATGATAACTTATTAAATTTACAGAGCACCGTGTAAGCGCGCGTCACAGATGTTTACTGGTTATTTCACACGCTCCAGCACCATGGACAGAGCCACATCGCCAACGCCATTATTATTACCTGCACATTATCAACGCACTTATCTCAATTTAAAATCTCTAAAGCATTATTCGATCATTTAAACTTAACTAAATGCATTGCTAGTGCTTTATTCAGTCGTACCGGTTCTGTGTTCAAAATCACATGCAATCAGCTGACCCTGATTAAACCTCCACTTGTTTTTTTTTCTTCTTTTTTTAATTAGATAATTTTAAGCGGTTTTTAAATTATTTCAATTGGCGAGCTAATCAGAATAAATTGTGAGGGTCGAAAACTGAAATAAAACAGCTAATTATTAGGTAGTGTTCAGGGTGGGTTTTCATGCCAAAACATCAACTTAAAAAAGCCTAGTAAGAAAAAAAAAAACTAAACAAAAACAGAGAAAAACACTACGCATTCATGCAGTAATATCACGGCACGGAAATATATGACAAATCAGTAAAAACAAGTACGTATAGCCTATCAACAATTATTAGTATCAATAGCCATATAACGATCCATGTAACGAAATATATTCTCACCCGAAGTACAAACACATTTCAGAATTTCACGCAGATTCAAAGTTCCATTCGCACCTGATCCAGCTGTCAGTTCAGAGTCTCTTCCAATAACTCATTCCTGCGCCTTCAGGCTGCCACCTGGTGGCTCTTCAAAACAAACAGGCTAGTGATTTTATTTAGGGCTAAACACATCAACATCACCTTTCCTAGTGTTTGTGACATGGACATGTCTCTGGAATTTGCTTGATGATTATAGCAGCAGTCCTCTCTTGCCTTGCAGGACTGAGGCTGATTTGGGTCCAGTCTGGGTGATGGCTGACGTGCTGGAGCTGAGGACGGATGGGAACTCTCTGCTAAAAGCAGTGTGGCTTCGTCGTTTGCGCCTAACAAGACTCCTCTTGGAAGGTGGAGCCTACATCAACGAAAGCAATGATCGTGGAGAGACACCCCTCATGGTGGCCTGCATGTCTAAACACTCTGATCAGCAGAGTGTTAGTAAGGCAAAACTCGTCAAGTACCTTCTGGACAACAAAGCTGACCCTAACATCCAAGACAAAGCTGGGAGGTCAGCACTCATGCATGCATGTAGCCACAGGGCAGGACATGAGGTGGTCTCACTTCTACTGACCAACGGGGCTGATCCGAGCCTGGAGGACCGTCATGGATCCTCTGCCTTAGTCTATGCTGTCAACGCAGATGACAAAGAAACATTAAAAGTTCTCCTTGATGCCTGTAAAGCTAAAGGCAAGGAAGTCATCATCATTACCACTGACAAATCGCCGTCTGGAACCAAAACCACCAAGCAGTACCTGAATGTTCCTCCATCCCCCGAGTTGGATGAGAGGGCCACTCCTGCCCCATGTGCCTCACCGTCAGAAATAGATCTTCATGCATCACCATCTCCCAGCAAAGAGGAGGAGAAAGACACTGTATTCAATTTCCAAACAAAGTTTAAGTCAACCTCAAGCACAGCAGCCAAACTTCCAAATGGACTTACTTCTCCTAGTAAAAAGCCAGCGAACCCCAAAAGGGCTCGCTTACCCCAGCTGAAGCGATTACAGTCAGAGCCTTGGGGTCTGATTGCCCCCTCCGTATTAGCAGCGGCAAATGAAGAGAGCAAGAGAGCAAACTCTGATGAAGATGTTGTTGCAGGTGTGAATGGACTTAGTCTGTCCAGAAGAGGCACACTGTCCAGGCACAACAGCGTGGATGGAAAAGATATATTGTTTCCAATGATGGGGGATCAGAATACAAAAATATCTCCAACTTCATCACTTCCACCATCTTCCAAAGCCTCCTACGAGAGATCACTGGCACAGCACCAGCCCCTGGCAAGACGCAGTACTGTCCCTACAGAGCAGGAAGCCTCGGGAGTTAACTTTGGGCCAGCTAGCCTCAGAGACACAGTGCACCGGAGAAGACTGGGAACAGAACACTACGACTCAGACTCCCAGCTGTACTCAGATTCCAGCATGCTAGACTCTCCTAAGGCTCCCTTGGAGAGGAGGAAGCTCAATACATCCCCTCTTGCTATGCTTACAGGCTCACGAGAGTCCTTGGACAGCAATCCCAGTACCTCCTCCCCAAGCACAGCCAGGTGCAGAGCACCTGGTCTACTAGAGCGGCGCGGCTCTGGAACACTGTTGTTGGACTATATATCCCACACTCGTCCAGGTCACCTGCCTCCACTAAATGTCAACCCAAACCCCCCGATTCCAGATATAGGGGCAAGCAGTAAGCCCTCATCCCCACTGGCAGCAGGTATCAGACTAATAGCTCCCGTAGCACCCAACTCACCAAAGAGAGGCAACCTCAGGACGAAGAAGAAGCTTGTGAGAAGGCACTCTATGCAAGTGGAACAGATGAAACAGCTTTCAAACTTTGAAGAGCTCAATCATCAGTCGTGAAACTCAGTCTATGTGGATGTAGCAACTTTAACATCATAAGTCTGAGATTTTGGGCAGGTGCAACACAGGTGGTAATAGAATTTTAAGGTAGTTAGCACTGAATGTAGCCATTTAGGGCAAATGAATAGGCTAATATTCTTGCAAGTATTAATCAGCAAAGTACTTAAAAAAGCAGCTGAAAACCAGAAAAGTAATAAAACAAAAGATGCAGAAAAAAAGGCAAAGGAATTTAAAGATGCGACCCAGCTCTTATAGGTTAGTTTAGATTTAACATATGATGTAACGTTATAGTGTAAACGTATAGTCATTTCCAAGCACTCACAAAAACGATTTTCAAAATAGATGTTGGTGGAAATGAGATTTACAACACAGTCACAAAAATACAAAGGAGTGTGCAATTTTCCATTTCGCAACAAAGGTAGTGTGTCCTCTTAAAGAGTAGGTGAGAGAGTGTGCTATTATTCTCTTACGTATGAAGACTGAATTTGACAGCTTGACTACAGCTACTTCAATGCGTGGATATTTCGCTGCAAACAAACATAGAGCCGAAAATATCTGTATATCTTCAAAGTCTAGACATCCCTCTATGAGATTCATTAAAGCAGACAGCAGAATGAATGCAAAACCAGACTGTCAAAGTGGTGCAGAGAGGTCACCAGATCATACCCATTAAAAGAGAGGATTCCATTGGCTCCTTATTAAAAAGCTGGAAGTCCTGCAAGAAAAGCAAATAGGGTTGAGAATTGTAGAAAGGGAGAGGAGATGCAAGAGACTTTGTCTCTGATCAGGATACATATAAAATGGTAGCTTTTCAGTGTTGATCTTAATAACGGCTGCGTGCAGATGTATCATTACATGCACATCTGATCTAGATTCTGTAAGAAATACTGACCATCTGTGAGCTAATTATAGGGAAATCTGTCTCTCGTAATTGATTACAACCTACATCGGTTGCAATAATACATGCAACAATGCAAATGTAATTATGACTTACTCCTTAACGCAAAGATGATTCATACAGTCGTACAGCCCTTATTTAACCTTGCTAGGTTGGCAGTCTTTACATATATAACATGTCAGTATGTTCCATGATGAGTTAAAGAGATTGAATGTGTGTAGCTAATTAGTGTATAGTGCCTTTGAGGGAGAGTAAAAGGGGTTCTGCATCACATATTACTTTTAATTAAATATTACAGAGCAGCATTTTAAAACACAAAACACAATATTGAAACCAGTTTGCTGCAAGTGTGTTCATAACAATAACAACATTTGAAACAAATCATCAAGTAATACTTTGATCAGAGTGTATCATAATATATCTAGGTGAAGTCTGTAGCGGAACATGCCTTGTAATAAACCAATGACTATTGTACAGACAAATGTGAACGTATAGGTTTATCCATTTGTCAGCCAATGTTATGTGGTAGAACTAATGTGCCCATGTTACTTTTGTGCAAATGAAAGTGCTTCAGATTCATTGCTGCTATAATGTTTCATAGCCACTTGACTGCATAATGCTGTCAAATAATAATATTAGAGTAGTTCTAGAGTTAGCTGGCTAACTCCACACTAATTTTTCCCTGGATCGAGACATTAAACATAAGCAATCAACAGATGCATTTAGACCATTGGTCTGAGATTATGAAACATGCATATGACAGAAATACGTTTATACAATCAAGAGTCAATCATAATATTAATAAATTATTTAATACACAACTTGAACTGAAGCAATTTACTAGTAAAAACTCAAAATAAGAATACAATTTGAATTATTAAAGAGTCCCAATTAAGACATGGTAAAAGGTTTTATCACAACTGTCTTATATTAATACTGTGAGGCATACTATTGGTTGCGCTCATGTTTACATTGTTTGATGCATAGTATTTTTGTATGTAGTATCTTGTATATTTTAAATAAATGTCTGTATCAATCTGTAGAATCTTTCTAGTCTCTCTAATTGCAAAATCTGACATTTCAAAAGCACCTGTTCTGTTATGTTACATTTAGAGTGCATAGTCCTAGTTTCACATACAGGGCTTAGACTTAGCCAGGATTAGGCGACAGCTCAATTAGAAGTAATTTTTATAAATGTGCCTTAGAAAAAATAAAAACTACAACAACAAAAGCATTATATGCGTCTATTTTGAGACAAAACCAAAAGGTATTGACATGTTTTAAGATCAGTCAGCACTGAAACTGCTCAGACTTTCATTTACGTCTGGGGCTAGGCTTAAGCCTTATCTGTCAAATGGGTCAAACTGCTTGTAAACTTCAAAGTAGTAGCAAAGCAAATATCTCTTGAGGTGAAACCCTGACCTGTAGAAGACCAGTTACTTTTTCCAGATCTAATCCACTGTACAGAGTGTAAAGTCATCAGACTCTTGATAAAGTACATTAAAGGATTATAGTGGATCCACTTCTGAAGTAATTTGGGCTGTAGAAGTACTTGTTCAATGTAAAAGACCATGATGAAAATGGCATGTGTGAGTGAGAATAGGTATTGGGGAAAAAGGAAATCCGTTGTCTAAACCGTCAACTTGAAGCAACATAGACATGTTCACTAATAAAACTGTCACTCACTTGCTTACTCATTTGTTTTACTTGTTTCTTTCTATCTATTTATTTATCACTTGTTTGTTTGTTTTTGTTATTTTATTGCCACATTCACTGTAAATGATATACCAATGTTTAGGTTTCCTATTATCATATCATTACCATATTTTATCATTATCATATTTTTTACATTTTGTTTACTAAGATGTATTTGTTGTTGTTTATGTGAGGGGAAAGACAAAAACAAGCAAACAAACAAAAACTATACACAAAACAGGGTACAGTGTTCTATATTAATAAAATTATTTTCTAAACAATAGTTTTTGTTCCCCAGTTTTGAATTCTACACTGAATTGCACGGTAATAAATGGTTAGAAATGTCCAGGAAATTATTTTATTCATTAAAAAACTAAAATTCTCATATGTTATGACAACTTAACTGGAATCCTTTCTATCATCTTTCCAAATCAGAGATGCCCAAACTAGTGCCTGCGGGCCAAAATAGGCCCATGGTATCTTTGATTTGGCCTGCCATCCCATCTGAGACGGGAGGAAGAACAATGGGGATGGTTTAGAAATTGTCATTTCAAATCTATTATAACTTTTTGTTTGTTTGTTTTATTGTTTAAAGCTAACTGTGTTTAAATGTTTCACTTGAATATTGTAAATTATTCAGATTTAGCTTAAATGGACATGCTATCACCTGTTGGATACAGGGCAATGCAGAGACTTTGGTGAGCAAATCAATCCAAAGGCAGAATCTGCTTGACTAGTTAAATTCCACTGTTCACTATTATGTTTTTATTGCAGTAAGTTATAATTTTAAAACTTATTCTGCATTAGATAATTTGATTTAAAGTGATTTTTTATATATTATGAAATGTATATATGTATATATATAAATGTATATATATAAGCATGTTCATGGGCCAATGGCATTACCAGATCAAAATGGTCAATACCAAATTAAATTACATTAAAGTTGCCATGGGTATATATACCCATGGCAACTTTAATGTAATTTAATTTGGTATTGACCATTTTGATCTGGTAATGCCATTGGCCCATGAACATGCTTAAACAACTGCTTTCTGTCAAACTATTTTAATACTATAATGAAATAATTTAATCATATCTTAACGGTAAAACAGTTGTCATAACGTTATTTATAAATATGTGGACCTTTTAGGATTCTCGAGAGCTTTGGAAATTAGGTGTAAAACAGAAAATACAGTAGGACCATTGTTTTTGTTTAAATTCCTCAAAATGGTATATATTTACCCACGGCTCATAACGATATTTGGTTTTTGGCCCTTTATATGAAAAGGTTTGGGCAACCCTATTCTAAAAAGTGTGATGACGACTTTCTACTGACCCCTGGTGGACGTCCGTCTTACTCAGATGAAAGCATAAAATAGATGGATAATGTGTCTAAATGACACACAAATGTGACATTTTGATAATTTTTTTGCAAAACCCCTGTAATTCACAACTTAAAAAGAAAAGTTATGAAATATTAATATAAATATTGCTTTTTCTAAACTATTATTAAGCAAATAAACTGCTGTAAACTGATAACTGCTAATATTTTAGAAGTCCTCTCTGCACTAAAGGTTTCAGCAGTGCAAGGTACAGTTATATTTACCACAAATAACATAATAATAATTATTATATACTAACAAAGTAACAATGCGTGTGTCCCGTTACTTTCACAGAATCATTTCAATTTAATGACAGGATCCAGACCACTACGCACAGGCTTTGGTGTTGTTCTCTGTGCTGTTTTGGCAATATCTGGATCCTGATCTAGTTTAGTTTCTGTTAGTAATGTGATATTCACAATGTGCACACACCAGTCTTGCATGATGTGCTTTCTGTTTGAGCGCATGGCATGGAGATGGAAGTTTTGATGTGTGCTTTTCTTTTTTGTTTTGTGTTTGATCGAGAACATGACTTCAGTTGTACTTGCACATGGATTTTTTTTCTGTTTCTCTGAGCTAAACAGTCAGGAAACATTTCAATGACAACAATGTACTAAAACCTATAATGTAATTTTGCATTAACCTGTGCAAAAGGTGTTCTGTACAGATGACAATGTAGTCAAAATGATTACATAGATCTGTGTTAATAACTTAAAAAGCTATATTATACATGCCAGGCTAGTAGTTTTGCAAAAGCATGTTGCAAAGAAATACTAGCCTATGTGCTTGTCCATGATTGGCCAATTGCAAGAGAGATGGTGTAGTTCACTTTTCTGCTAAAGGTTTAGAAATGGTCATGGACATTATTGTTGATTTAAATGCATTTATAAGTTCTTATTAATAACACTACAGTTTTTTTTTCAATTGCTAACAAGCGTTTATTAATACTTAAAATACTTTTTTCTAAACTCTTATCACAGCAGCACACCTATCACACAACTAGCCAAAAAGTTAATTTTCTGTTCAAAAGCACACATTGCTAAATAAATAAAACTTTACAACAATTTATAAACCCTATCAAAACACAGTGAACCTGATTCAAGTCATTAATTCAAAATATTTTGATTTCTCCTGGCTGTTCTGTATTTGATACCTTATCT